CATCTCCTAGCTGCTACTTGACCCCCAAGTGAATTGAGCCACATTTCCCAGCACGGAGGATGGAAGCTGCCTGGGGGTTGGGGCGGGTTGGCTGGCGGATGCTTGAATGTTCTAGGATTGCTTCACACAGCCGGCATCTGACTCCGCATCCCGCCGCAAAGGGCACATTTTTGTTTGAATGGTGTGAAGACATTGAGGTGGAGGGGGGGAGTTACTTGGCCTCTTTGGTCCCACACAGTCACTATGGAGCTATGCGTCTCCCTGGCAAGTGCCGTGAACTTCTGTAAACTCAATTTTCCTTTCCGTTTGTAAAACAAGGAGGCGTGGACTAAGCGCGTCCCTTTCTGTCATAAATACCGGTGATTTAAACCTTGCTTCCACGGAGGAGGGATGAGAGCCCAGATCGCATTGTCCTTTTCTATTAAGCTTTTTTTTTGGACACACCGAGCAGGGAAAGGGAGAGTTCTCGGAGAACGGTTATCTTCCGCAAGCTGCCTCATCCCCCAACGCGCCCCCCGGCCCCCCCCACTCCCCCATTGCTTGTGACAGGTCGTATATTTGATTACGCAAAGCAGATTGGGAAATCGTATCTCCGCAATCGCATCTGGGATTATTTATTTAGCCCGGTCCACAGCCGGTCAAAGTTGTGAGACGATACAACATGAAGAGTAACTTTCCGGGAGAGGCGGTGGATTCGAGGTTGCCTTCTGGAAAGAAAACAGCCGTAGCCAGCCCCAGCAAAGCACTCCTGCCATGCCCAGGTGTTTCCAAAAACCATTCATCTCCCCGGGCGCTCGCGGCAGGTTGATGTAGGGAGGCCACTCAGCCTGGCGGTGCGGCGCAGGCCTCACAGGGCCTCGGAGGCTGGGAAGTCGGGCGAGGTCCGAGGAAATCGGCCTCGAATTTCCCGGCCTCGGGCTCTCCGCAGGCCAGTTCCTTGAGTTACAATGATACAACTAATAATAAAAAAAAAAAAAACACCAAAAAAAACCCAAACAACTCCCAAGTACTGAGTGCTCAGTCTGGGCGGGTCACCGTGCCAGGGGGGGTCTACACACACCACCTCCAGTAGGGTTAACTTCATTTTGCAGTTGTGGAGTGAGGTGCCGAGGCAGTTTAGGATACTCCTCGCTCTCCCGCAGCCGAGGAGCAGCAGATCTGGCATCTTAACCCCCGTGAGCCTGCTCCGAAACCCTGACGCTCAGCCTCCAAGCCGGACTGCCTGCGTGGAGCCTGGGCCCAGAAACCCCGCTGCATTCCCGCGGCCCGGCCCTCAGTGATCGGGTGGGAGGTGGCCGGGCCAGGTTGGGAAGCTAGACGCCCTGGAGTCAGATCCCAGCCGGCGTGGCCACTCAGAGGAAGGCGGCGGCCGGACCCGCTGGGATTCGTAGCAAGGAATTGATGGGTGAGCGGGGGCCAATCTGAAACACGCTTCTCCCCCCGCTCTTTTTTTGAGAGTAGAAAAGAACCGCCACACACACACATTTAGAAAGAGGAGAGAGGGAGACTCCCCGTCCCCCTTTTCCTGCTTTTTTCCTTCAGGTTCCCTTGCTTGACTCGGTGGGGGAGGCGGGCGCTTAGGACCGCGAGTGTCCGAGCTGCATGAGAAGGTGAAGGGGTGCGGGGTGAGAGAGAATTGGGGGAAAGGGAGAGGGAAGAGAGGGGGTCCCTCAGCGACGGCCAGCTCTGAGAGACGCAACCCCCGAAGCCGCCCCCACCAGGGGGGACTGGCAGAGTCAGTGGCGGCCCGCTGCTTTGTAATTTACAAGCAGGAAGCCCCAATTGCACTTCGTAATTTGGTGTCGGTTTACAAGCCCAAAGGACTTCTGTTTCCTCACCTAACAGGTCCTCAGTCACGGCCTGACCCCTTTTAAGACAGGGACCTGGAGGAAGGAGCTGGATTCTTTGCGCCCTTGCCTTTCAGTCAAGCTTGGGAGGCATGCCGTGGCCCGGCCCTCCTGGGGCTGCATGGGCTACCACAGCGGGCTAAGCAAACGTTTACTGAGCTCTACGATGTGAAGACTATCCTCATTATTACCGTCTTCACAGCCACGACAGGCCAAAGAAGGGCATTCTTCCCATTTTGCAGATGAGGCAACTGAGGCCCAGGGAGTTAATCAACCAAATCAGGTAGTGGGTGGAACAACCAACAACCAGCCTGGAGCCCAGGCTCTCTGACTCCTGTTGCCTCTGAATATTTAGTTTACTAATCAGTTTGTGCAGTCATAAATCCCCCTCCCCAGATTATCCAGACGATTTCTTATTTAATATTAGAGTTCCTCAGGCTTCCCGAGACTCGTCCCAATAGAAAAACCTCTCTTTCCCCACCCGACTCCCACACCATTTCACCTCTCAGCAATTGGTGGGATTGTGATTTTCTGGAGCGTTCAGGGCCAGGGAATGGAGTGTAATTCAACTGGATCACGATTACAGCTGCATGCCCGCAAGTACCGCAGATGGGGTGCAAGGAGAATAGGACGAGATGGGGGGGGTATCTGGAGATGGGCAGGGAAGCCTGGAGGAAGCAGTGAGGCTGCAGTGTAGATTTTTGATGGGGGGGATGAGTGTGCAGTGAAGGGATTGGTCCTGGGCCCACCCACCTGGATCCAGGGAGCCCCACCCCTCCAGTAAGTTCCTGGGCACTGCTTTCCCTAAGTCCAGCCGGACACTGCGCAGGGGAAGGCACAACTGGCTCTGACTTCTGAGGGCCTTGCTCTCGCCATAGGCTTCCAGGAGCCGCCCTCCCCCCAACTCCTATCCCCTGTCCTGTCTTCAGCCCGCACAGTTTACTGTACGCAAATCCCACTTGTTTTCTCCTTATGTGGCAGCTTTTATCACTCGAAGTAGTTCAAGGGCTGGCCGTCTTGTTTATTTTCTGTTTAGGAAACAGCCTCTTTCCCCTCCCATTCCCTCCTGGTTCCCCTTCCCCTCAATCTAGCGACCCCAAATTTGCTCACCTACTTTTTTGTGCCCCTCCCCCTTCCATCTCCCCTAGGGTAACCACTAGTTTAGCAAACTTACTTTCTTGATTTTGTTTCTTAATATTCAAGATAACTAGTGAAGGGCTAACGATTTCCTGTCCTCCGCCTCTCCGTGCCCCTCGCCCCGCCGTAAAAACAATAAATAAAATAAAAACCCAGCCTGCCAACAGCTTGCACACGCAGCGGCAGTGGAGGGGGTTTGTAGTTTTCTTGCGCGTCGCGGGGGTAGAAGCATTGAGATGCCTGTTTGCAAAGGTAAAAAAGCTACAGGGGGAGACGCAGAAGGGGAGGTCATGATGCCAGGTACCAAAATCAGAAAAAAGTGCAGGGGAATAAAATAAAAAACACGAACCCATTGTGAGTTTTTCTGGCGTGGAGCGAAGGGGTCGTCAAAGTTTGAGACTTCAGAGCAGAGGCCGACCTAGGACCTGGGTGCTCACCAGTCCATTGCCCTCCCATTTCGTGACCCAGGGCTCCTCTTTCAATTTCAGTTTCATCGTTGGAAAACGGGGGAAAATAACACACTTCTGCTGCGCTCAAGAATTCAAATGCTCTAACATAGGTGAACAAATGCACGTTGATGAATATAAGAAACTACGCAAAAGGTAAAACTCACTGGTGTTATTAGGTGGTGCCAAACGGGAGGCACGAACAGGTCTGCTTGATTCTTTGTCCTGTGTTTGAGGGCACACAGCTCCCAAGCCACCCTCCCAGACGCCCAGAGCCACTGAGCATCCAACAGGAGTATAAAGAACTGTTTCTGCACTTCCTTCGCTGGGCATCGAAAGCGGCTCTGGGGAGAAGAACCCGCACAAAGGGAAATCCCAGTGCCTGGTAACTAGGGAAGAACTTTCCACATCGCCAAAGGATTTGGAATACCTGTGCCTGCGGCACATCGCGTTAATTTCACAGTAGTAATTCCTAAGCTTCCTCGTTCCCGCCGCTCCGAGCCTGGTTAATTTCTAACTTTCAGTAATTTCCTTCGTTTAACAAATATATAGGGGGCCTACTATGTGCTCAGTGCATTGGTACTCAATTTTCTAATCTGTCTCCTAAACAGATCTTAAGAGGCACTGATTATTTAAAGGTGTAAGTAGAAAAGCCTCTAAGTAACTTTAAATTTAGTTCAAGAAATAAAATGCAGCGTTGAACTAGAAGACTAATTTCCTCTTTCAGGATATTGGAAACATAACTGTTACTAAACATTTATGTAAGAGATTAATGAAGAAGCCCCTTTTCCCCCTTATAAATACATTCATGAATACCAAAAAGTCCTCTTTAAAAAAGAGCTTCGTTTTAAAAAATGCTTAGAGTGAATATATTGTCCTTAAGTCTCTTAATGGCATGTATTTCCGTTCTCCCCCAGATCAACTCATAGGAATTCATATAGAAAAATATAAGTGACGTAGGTGACTTGGTGACCTGCCTGTCTCACGGGCGTAGTGAAAATTAACGAGGAACCACTTTGCACCTTGAAGATGAGTGGCGATAGCCACAAAAGTATCTACAGTTCGTAAGTCCTCTAAGCCGGTGCTGTGGTGCAAGGTAACCATTGATTTATTCTCGCAGGAGAAAGTAGGATGCCGCCGTGCACTTCTCTTATTTCCGCATCTAGCTTTGGGTTAATGATTGAGTCCCAGATACACCGGTGATGCTGATGACGTAGCTTTTCCGATCTCTGCCTTGTCGTCTGTTACTTTCTCTTGAGGACAACGCGATTCGTAAGCGTGTGTCTCTGCTATTTTTTTAGCCCGCGAGATAAATGGCGACTCCCGCCGGCGCCGTCACACTTCGGTTTTAACCTCAGGACAGCCTTCCCGGCTGCACCGAAGGCCGCGCGGCAGGATTCTGGCGGAGCGCGGCAGGAGGGGCCCGGCGGACGCGAGGAGGCGGGGAGCGCCGGGCCAAAGCGCCTCAGCCAATCAGCGTGCACACCGCCTGACACCCGGCCAATCAGCGGGCGCAGAGCTCGGGGGCCCGAGCGGATAATACTAGGAAAGGGAGCGGAGGCTGGCGACTACTGTGAGGGGCGCTGCGTCGCACGCTACTGCGTACGCCCGCCTGCCACGGGAGCTTGCGACCTGAACCTGGTCAAGGCGGCCCAACGTTCCCGCCCAGCTAGGGACAGAGGAAGCCAAAAGCAGCCTCAGCGAGGTGAAGCGCCCGGGGCTGCTGAGGACAGATCAGAACTTTGCAGAGTCCGGGATGTGCGGGGCGAGGTCGCTGAGGATTTGACTCACCTTCTCCATGCCCCTTCTCCTCTACTCCTCATCCACTGGGCTCCGGGCCTCCAGCTGTCAACCCCCGATTTCGTGACAGGGTGTGGCAACCCCGATTTCTGTTTGCAAGCACAGCCAGCAGCCCAAGAGCAAGGTCCCAAGGCTGGATATCTTTTGCCTCGGCTGCTTAGCCGGGGCCTCAGAGTCTTGGTGAGTGCTGTGATGTAGCTGGGGTGTCAGAGAGGGCGAAGGGCGTGAATCACCTTTCCTATTTTACTTGTATGTCTTGCTTTAAAGTGCAAACCGTGCCCGATGTACAAGAGAGCCCACGTGGCTTAGCTCTGCGGGGCTGAGACACTGTCCATTCTGGACGGGGGCGTTTGCAGCTCCGTGCCCAGTGTCCCTATGGGGCTCTATTGGCAGCAGAACAATTTTGGCTTTTAGTTGACTAAAACTGCGGTGTGCTGGGGTGGGGGGATTGGGGGAGGATGAGAGAACCTCTCCAAGCCCAAGAGGGGCTCCTTGTAGTGGTGCAGGAGGATGAGAGGCGTGTGGGAGTTGTAGGGTGGTACCTCGCAGGGTCCGAAGGGCCCTTGTGATCAGAAGGAAAACAGTTCTTCCATTGACATTTTTATATTCAGCATGACCATACTAGTTGGGTATGGGTAAACCTGATAAGTGGCCAAGGCCAGCCTAGTTGGACACAATACTTCTGTGTGTGGTCAGTGCGTTTACCGAGGGCCTTGTCCCCAAAGCGTGTGTAAAGCCAAAGAGGGCTGTGGTTAAAGGTCAGGCCTAAAGATTCAAGAAATGCACGTGTGGTCTGGATGTGAAAGACATGTAGAGAAGTGGCCTCCTCGAGGGGTCGGAGGCGGGCAGACCAGGAGTTCTGGGCCCAAGGCCCGGGAACGGTGCCTGACGGCGGCGGTCGGTGGGTCTCTGGTTCTTTTCCTGTCTCTCCATAGCGCAGGGGACTCAGCGTAGGCCCGGGCGAAGCGTGCTGCGCCATGGCGGTCCGGCAGCCGGTTCCCGCAGTGGACTGGGAGATCGACGTGGAGAGCCTGGGGCTGGAGGAGGACGGCCGCGAGGCGCCGCCGCCCACGCCGCCCGGGCCCAGCCCGCCGCCGGCCGACAGGGACGGCGAGGATGACGACGACGCGGAGGACGAGGACGACGACGACGCGGAGGACGAGGGCGATGGCGAGGAGGCGGGCGCGTCCCCGGGCGTGCCGGGCCGGCCGGAGCAGCAGGATACCCTGGCGCCGAGGGCGCCTCCGGCGCCGCAGGCCTCGTCGGCGCCGGCCGGGCCCCCAGAGCGCGGCGCGAACGCGGGCGGCGGCGGCGGCGGCGCGGAGCCGCGCAAGCTCAGTCGCACGCCCAAGTGCGCGCGCTGCCGCAACCACGGTGTGGTGTCCTGCCTCAAGGGCCACAAGCGCTTCTGCCGCTGGCGTGACTGCCAGTGCGCCAACTGTCTGCTGGTGGTAGAGCGGCAGCGCGTCATGGCCGCCCAGGTGGCGCTCCGGAGGCAGCAGGCCACCGAGGTGCGTACCTGCCGGCCCGGCTCGCCCCCGCCGGGCTGTCTGGGGACGCCGTGGGGGTCGGGAGTCGGAGGGGCGCGCTCCGCACACACCCGGGCCCGGGGACTCGAGGCTTCTGGCACTTTCTCAGAAGGATGGTGAAGACACCTCTGCCAACGCTGGCCTGCAGGGTCGGGAGGGAGGAAGCCGTGGCCATCGTTGGGGAACTTGGCAGAGAAGATTTTGTATTAAGAAGCAGGCAGAGAGGCCTTTAAAGTGGTTAGTCCCGTTCAGTACATTATGGGAAAGGTATTTTATATATTTTAACGTTTACTCTGATGGTGTTGGGGGGAAGAGGACAGAGGTTGATGCAGTGCACGACGTCCATTGCCGTATTACCCGTGCTGATCGCGAAAAAGAACCACTTAGCACGTAGTGCTCACGGCGCTTCCGCAGTCACGGGCCATTTAGGAGAGAGAGAGATACGTGTCCTGCCCATTTTACAGAGGAGACCAAAAGTGACGTGGGAATTTAGAAGAAACTTCTAGCCTCGAGAACTACCTAAGAACCAGTTGACGGTTCTCTGTCATCTCTCACCGCGGGTCTACGGCTGTGAGGAGAGCCTGAATCTTCTTTAAGAGAGAGGTTTTTCTTGAACCTGGCACTGAATGTTTCCTTGTGTCCCTGCACAAGCGCGCTCACAGGAGGGAGGCTGCGCGGGCCTGCTCGCACTCAGGGCGCGGGAGGAGTTTTGATTTTTACTTTTTGTCGAGAAGGTGCTGGGGAGTGGATCACCGTGCCCGCCGCAGGCAGTGAGTGACCCTCATGGGAAACCTCCCAAGGGCCTCGGAGAGCGCAGCGCCCTGGACGCCTGAGGTGCCCCGACCCTGGGCTGGGGCGCGGCCCCCTCCCGTGTCCCCGCGTGTGTTGCACCGAGGGCTCTGAGTTCCCTCGCGCTCCCTGCGACCTGCTGGGCGGGACGCGGGTGTAGAAGGGCCCAGAATTCCACCGACCGGGCGGTGACAGAGCGTGCGCCCGTCTCCTGCGGACTCTGAAGGTTTTGTTCGCCTTCAGGCGTCCCAGTCCCCCAGTGAAGCAATCCGGAGTTTTGGCCAGGCCCGAAAACTTCTGAGTTTTCTCCGTCAACCCCGTTCCCGGTCCCATCCGCCCTACTGCGGGGAGAAACCGGCCCCACATCTCTGGCCAATGTCAGGTCCCTGGCGTCTTCGGCCCCGAGTCTGGGCTCCGAGGATGCAGCGGCCCGCCGCAGCTCTCTCAGGGCCAGGCTCCTAGCATCTCATCCACTGTGGATTTCACTTCCTCCCAGGCTGGGCCCCCACTTCTCGCTGCAGGCTGAGTCTGGGCCGACTCTAGCAACGCGGCCCCAGGGAAAGCCGGGGCCCTGCTCACCAGTTGGAGGCTTCGGACAGAGCTTTTAGCTCATTGTCCTGGAATTAAGCGGTGCTGATATTAATTCCTTTAGAATTAATTTCACATGGGATGGGAAAATAAATACATTTAGAATGAGGAGAGTTGCTGATGCCTCTCCCTTGTCTCCCACGTTTTTTTCAGGGCATTATTGATTATGTTTCTTGTGTTTACAGGACAAGAAGGGGCTTTCCGGGAAACAGAATAATTTCGAGCGCAAAGCCATGTATCAGAGGCAAGTCAGGGCACCCAGTTTGCTGGCCAAAAGCATTTTAGAAGGTAAAGAAAGCAACGCAAAATTATTCTTTAGCCTTTTAAACCATGTTCTGAGTGATTCTCATTATTCAGGCACATGGCATTTCCATTTACATGTGAAGGAGCATTCTGAGGGGGAAATGCTTTTTTATTGGAAACTTTTGCAAGGATATCAGGATGTGAGAAAATGAATCTCACATACCTCCTGAGGTTTTTATCACTGATAATTTTTTCTGCTTAGTAGTTAATGGGTTAACATGGAGTGCATATGATATTTGCCCTAATGTGAGGGAGGTACAGATACACTGCCAAATGATCCCAGAGCAGATGTCCTGAAAGGAAATAAATTTTTAAAAAAGAAATCTTTAGTTGTATTTGGAGCTAAATAGAGTGAGTCAAGTGAAGAGTTTAACAGCTACCCACACCAATAAAGGCCTTTAGTCTGGGCGATCCAGCCTTTAATCCCACTCTTTTTAATTGTATTCTTTTCCTCTCTGGATTATCTACTTAAATTGCAGTTATTCCACACTTCATTTTACCATTTTGACAGTCGAGATCATAGAATCTGGAAGAGGTTTTGAATACACAAGAGAAATGGAGGTTGAATTTGAATAGAGTGAAGTCTTCATGTGTTCACTTTCTCTAAAGCCTGGGAATACATTAATTTTTCTTAAAATATTACTGATTTTTTAAAAGCATCTCTGTTTGGGTATGGAATTTATTTATTGACATAATAAATAACATTGACTATCTTTCACCGTTTAGAGAAAAGGAAAGTTTATATTTGCTCTAATCACTGCCATTTTATGCGTCAGGTTGAAAAGCAGATTTTTTTTGGTTTGTTTTGAAGTAGACATTTGTATTCTGTTTTTTCTTATGTGGCTTCTGAATTGAGTTGTTTCTGGACAGGTTTAAAAGTTTGTTCATGTCTTACCCTGTGCTGTATACTTCTGACCTTAGAATGGCTTCTCGTGCATTCAGAATGAGTTTGGTTACAAACTGGGTAAACAGATTTATAACCATAGGGACCACACTGATAAATTGAAATTGTGCCAAAGCAACTTGAGAAGTGAGAGGACTAAGTGGAATAGAACATTCAAGTAAATAACTTCCTGGCAAAAACTTACCATAGAAGTGTACACATTAATTTTCAAATTTTATTTTATTTGCAAATGAGTATGATGGGTTTGTCACTATGTAAACACAAATATCACAGTGGATCCTTCAAACAAATTTGATGGTGGTGAGTGCTTGGGGATGGTGAAATAAAGTATTTTATGCTGCCAGGAATTCTATTTATGTTATACTAATCTTTGTTTTTGACTTTGTCCCTATTTATAAAATGTATAATGACTTAATCTAGGTTCTAGTGATTGCTTGTTCAACCATTTTGGTATCTGGCCAACGTGATTGGTACTGGTGAAAAATGTTTTAGACCAGTTATTTTCAGTATAGCAGGGGATCCCCCCCACTTTGTTTGTTTGTACTGATAGTCAGAGGTAGGGGTAGGGGCCTGGTTAAATTGTTCACTGCAGAGTCTGTTTAACTAGTTACCAGCTCTTTTCAGTTTTCTGTGCTTTTCTGTTTCCTGAAGTCTTTCCTCTTTATCTCTTCACTAATCTGCTTTAACTTTCTCTTTTTTCCTAGTTCTCCTTGGATTATTCTACAACTGTAACAATGTGTACATAATGATCCAACTTTAGAAAATAAAAGTGACATCAGCTCTAGGTATAGATATCTTTTTTTAATAATTGAAAAAGATGACATGGATAGTAATAAAGCATTGATTGAAGCGACATGAGCAGCCTTGTCTCTTAATGTATAGGAGCTTGGGGAGAATATTAAAATTTCAGCCAGTAAAGTATGCCTGTCAAAGTAAACAAACCTATCACAACAAAAACAACAACAATAAAAAGTTACAGTATGGATATCCTTCCCTGTGAAGGGATCTATTCTAAATTGAACCCATACTTTTGCTTTCTGTATAAAAATACTAGTGATGTGGAACTGTAAATAACTGTCCTGCTGATTTGCAGTGTTTCTGTTACCTTCTGGATTCCCAGATTTTTCCTCATCAGATGTTAATGTCTTTCATGTGCAATGCTTGCTTATTTTAGGCTACCGCCCCATTCCATCAGAGACTTATGTGGGAGGGAGTTTACCTCTACCTCCCCCAGTAAGTGACCGGATGAGGAAAAGGCGGGCCTTTGCTGATAAAGAGTTGGAGAACATTATGCTGGAGAGAGAATATAAAGAGAGGGAGATGTTGGAAGCTTCCCAAGCTGCTGCCTTATTCCTGCCCAATCGCATGGTACATGGTTCTGAGTACAACTCCTACAAAAGTGGCTACAGTCCCACGCCAGTGGAACCACCAAGCAAAGACTTCTGCAACTTTTTGCCCACGTGCCTTGACCTCACCATGCAGTATTCAGGGTCTGGGAATATGGAACTAATTTCTTCCAATGTCAGTGTGGCCACGACCTACAGGCAGTATCCCCTGTCCTCGAGATTTTTAGTTTGGCCCAAGTGTGGCCCCATTAGTGACACCCTCCTCTACCAGCAATGCCTGCTGAATGCTACCACGTCAGTTCAGGCCCTGAAGCCTGGGGCCAGCTGGGACCTGAAGGGAGTACGACTGCACGATGGACTCGGAACAGATCATGATATAATGCCACCGAAATTGGAAGGCTCTCTGGTGCCGCCTCACACTCCTGAGGGCCAGATCTCAAGAAGTGACCTTCAGGGTCACCAGGCCGTCCCCGAGAGGTCTGCGTTCTCTCCACCCCGACGGAATTTTTTGCCCGTTGTTGACACGGACTCCCTGGCAGCTCAAGGGCACGTCTTAACCAAGATCAGCAAAGAAAGCACCAGGCACCCTCTGCCACTTAAACATAATCCATTCCACTCATTATTCCAGCAAACTCTTAATGACAAATCAGGTCCCGAGTTGAAAACATCATCTGTCAAAGAGGCCTTTGAAGAGGCCCCTAAGAAACCCAGAGAGTGTTTAGTCAAGGAGAACCAGAAGTACACATTTACAATAGATAGATGTGCAAAAGACCTTTTCGTAGCCAAACAAGTTGGAACAAGACTCTCAGTGAATGAACCGCTGTCATTTTCTGTTGAGTCTATTCTTAAGAGGCCTTCGTCTGCCATCACTCATGTCTCTCAGTGAAAGGCTGCTTAAATGGGAAGCTGGATTTTCTGCAGTCTCAGAGGATTCTTACCAGTCACTAATTTTTTTTCAAAGAAAAAAGTTGAGATGCTTGTATAAAGAAATTTCTAATGTAAATGATGATGATTTTAAAAAATTCTATATATTCTTAATGCATGTACTTTCCCTTACCACATAAATATATTTAAACTTAAAGATGGATATTGCTGATGTGCAAATTGTGAAGTTTCAGGCTTTACATAGCATTTCAAAAAGCAATAAAATTGACACTGTCTTCTAAAAGACCCAGAATTTGCTGAAGTAAATAGTTTCTCTGTCTAGGTGAAAAAGCTAGTGTCCGTGAAATGTGTTCTTTATTTTTCTACGATTCTGTGTATTTTCAAGTGCTCTTAATGGTTGCTGGGGGCCATAGGAGAACACTTATAATGCCTTAGTTGTGCATTTTGGAGGACATGTAAATGTAGGTATTCAAGACTGAGGCAAAAATAGCTGTAAGGAGAACATAGGGAAGATTTTTATGTTTATAGAATCTTCATTTCATGTGGTTGGACAAAGTTGAATTGAAGAGCAATCAAGTTTAATATCTCATTTATACGACGACATGGGTTCTTGGAATGAGTCCCAGTTTCCTTCCCTGATGGGGATGTGTACGTGGGGCCTCAGGCTTCCTTTCTAGGTTGAACATTCATTCTGTGATTTTCAGGTTGCTGGGGGCCACAGAGCAGCTTCCCCAGCACATGGTTGAACCCCCTCTCAGTTCTGTGTTACTTTGCTCTTCCCTGGGGTCTGGTGACAGCAGGCAGTTAGCAGCAGGCCGAGTCACGACTCTCAGCTGGTCTGGGAGTCTCAGCTTTATGTGTCCCACATTTTCACCAGTGTCAAAGGTTATCAGTGTCACTCTCTTCTGAGATAAAAACATTTACTCTTCAAACTGCTTCAGCAGACAGTTGCCCAAGCCTGCAGATGTTTATCACAGCATAAGGGCGGCTTCTTTTTTAAGTTCATTATTACCCCCTCGTTTTGCTCAACAAAATGTTAACTATTGTTCTATATGATTGATAAAACAAGAGTAAGACATTTATGAAGGTATGAAATTCCTCCCTGAAGATCTCACCTGTGGACCTCAAATCAAGTTCTGAGATGTTATGGTCATTTCAACACAGGAAATCACGAGCCAGATATCCCACCCACCTCTAATTTTGCCATGGAGTGAGGTTTTACTTCCAACTCTGCTCTCATTTGGGTAACAAGAACATGAGGTGGGCGTGTGGGGTGTGCCAAGACATTCGGCAGTTTTAAAGAGTTTCTTTCTTCCTCTGGAAAACATTAACAATTATTTTTAAAATGACTTTTTTTGCTACTGATGAGCTCATGTAAGCCTCAAGGGGTTCCTCTGAATTGTTGCTTAAAATTAGCATCAATTGCAAAAACACCAAGCCAAACCTTAGATTGATTTTCAGTTTGTACTTGTAAAATAATACTTGGTTTTGTTGAGTCAGATTTACTTATTTTTACTATTGCAAAAGCCAGAGCGAATGGAAGTTTGCCAGAGAAAAAGAAAATGAAAGTGGGCAGAGATCCCAATAACTGTTGAAGATTCTCATTAAGTGGAAAAATGTTTTCCAGCCATGAAGCCCTGGTGTCAGAGACTGCAGTTGCCCCTCTGTCCCCAACCCCCAGTCATCTTTGTTTTATCTATACAGCTATTAATTTTTATCTTCTTACTATGAATTTATTTTTTGTGTTAAGTGTAAACTTGGCATTGAAACTAACTGCTGCAAAGGTATCAGGGGAGAGCACATTAGAGTAAACCCACATTAAAAAATCCCATTGAGAAGGCCTTCTCAATCCAAACATGGATTTTTCTCTTTCTTACTCTAATATTTGGAATACATACATTAGTCAAATGTCTTACCCTTTTGTGTTCAATGGACGTTTGGGGATATCTTTTCTGTCCTCTCTGTATATCATTTTAATCTCATTAAGTGAATCCAGTTGGCTGTGGGTATTAAGTGGTTTTTCTCACATTACCAGTGACCAAAATTTTATTGTTCTTGAACATTTATGCGGGTCAGTACTCTCCCTGGCGAATGTATTATACCATGCATTAGTTCTTCTGTAATGATGAGTTCTTCTTGGAATTTCAAACCTACCAAATCTACCATCAGCCCGTCAGGGAGAGCTTTGTGCTTGGCACTTTGCTTCTTTTAATCATTTCACTTGCATAAAAGCTACTATTTGGCTATATACAGTCTTCAGAGAACACTGTCATCTACATATTGAATTACAATTGTGGTTTAAGCATTTTTTATGTTCAAGACAATAAATGGATTTGGCTTTAATCATTTTTAAGAACTTAAGGAATAGTAAAACATGGACCCTTCCCTCAATTTCACTCACAGTACAATAATGCAACTTTAATAACCTATTTTCCTTCCATCTCAGCTGATCAAGCAGTTCTGAATAGTTTGCAACAGTGCTTCTCAAGCTTTGAGAATGGACAGTGAACCACCTGGGAATCTTGATAAATGCACATGCTGATTCTGTAGGTATGGGATGGGCCTGAGCTTCTGCATTTCTAACAAACTCCTCCCAGGGCATGCCGATGCTGCTGGTCTTCAGACCACACTTTGAGTAGCAAATATTTACAACATTTCTGTTATTTTAATATACATTTAATACACTCTTTCGTGGATTTTGGGTTCTAATGCAATAGAGTTATCATGAATAATTTAATATATATGAATAATTTAAAAAAACCATTTCCCTCCAAACCCATAGAAAGTACACCACCAAGAGTGAACCATAGTGTAAACTCTGGACTTTGGGTGATTATGATGTGACAGTGAAGATTCTTCAGTTATGACAAATGGACCAGTCTAGTGGGAGGGTCCACTAGAGGCTATGCATGTGTCAGGTAGGGGGACATGGGAAATCTCTGTACTCTGTACTCTGTCCCCTCAATTTTGCTGTGAACCTAAAACTATTCTAAAAAAATAAAGTCAGTTAAAAAAGTTTGCTTTCTTTCTAAACCTTTAGTGGCAGGAGTAGAAGACCTAGGCAAAGTCATGAAGTAAACAAGTTGCTTCTGTTCTCTCTTTTTTTAAGCCTAGAAGTTCTTCCAATTTGGTATTTTTAGTTATGATAAAATACACATAGCATAAAATTCACGATTTAAAGTGTACAGTGGTATTTAAGTATGTTCACATATGTACAGCTGTAACCACCATCCCTCTCCAGAACTCTTTTCATCTAGCAAAACTGAAACTCTGTTACCCATTAAACAATGACTCCTTGCTCCTCCCAGCCTTGGCAACCACCATCGTACTGTCTGTTTCTATGAATCTGACTACTCTAGGTACCTCATACGAGTGGAATCATACTGTATTTGTCCCATTGTGACTGGCTTGTTTCACTTAGAATATTGCCTGCAAGGTTCATTTCATGTTGTAGTATACGTCAGAATTTCCTTCTTTTATAAGACAGTAATATTCCATTGTATGCATATGCCACATCTTGCTTATCCATTCATCTGTTGATGGACACCTGGGTTGCTTCTACCTTTTGGCTATTGTGAATAATGCTGCTGTGAGCATGTGTGTATAACTATCTCTTTACCCTGTCCTCACTTCCTGATTTCACCTTCTTCCCATCTTCAGGAACTCAGTTTTCTCAAGTGTTACACCCATCCCACATTGCCCCTCCCCCAGCACGTGAACCATCTCCATTCTTCACCAGCCCTGCTCTGCCCAGAGAGGCTCCAATGTCAGTCGTGCACCTTTTAGTGTGAGTTTAAGTGAGTGTGTTATCACATCATCTTCATTTAAAAGCTTAATTCTAATTGTGGAATCAAAGACTTGCATTAACTTGTATTAAGAAATTTTCTGGAATGTCTTCTGGGACGTCTCAGCAGTGCCAAAGAGCAAAGAAATGGCTGAAGGTCAAGATGAAGTAAGAAGGAAAGTTCACCATTCCCTGTAGAATAGTAAAGACATCACTTAGTATTGAGTGATGGATTTTCAATTGGGACTAGAATTCTTGCCCTCCTGATTTTACTTATTTTTGGATTAACATTCTTTTTTTCCTATTCTAGGTCTGTAAGCTTAGGCTTATTTCCTTCTGGGGTCCAATTTGTAAGGCTGTTAGTTCTTGAGATGGCTGGATTCTACAGTTTATAAACTTTGATTTGTGGCACTAATATTTAATGATTGTACCAAGCTTTTATCATACTCTACCACCCTTAGTTATGTTGTTTTTTTAGCTTGCTATATCTAAACATGTTTAGAGCAGTTTTCTTTCACTCTCTATCTCTCTATTTTTTGTTTCAATCAGAGCTTTTAAAATGAAACTTGTAGATTCAGGAGTTCCCTGCAGGCAAGCAGAATAGGCTTAGCCTCAGTTCCCCCAGTTTGCTGTGAAACTCAGGCTTGATGACAGTAACCATGAAATCAACAAAGGACCATCATTCTCCAACCCACACACTAAAACAATGAAGAACCCAGTGCGATCCACAAGCCAGAAAGCACCTAAACATTTGCCATTGAATGATGACTTTGCATGAACGATGGGCAAAATCTCAGTGAAAAACAAACACAAAATACCCAGCACTGTCTTCTGAGATAATGCATCTGCAGACTTAGGGCAGGCAGAGAACAGACGATAGAGCTATGTGGTTTTGTGATTGTTTATGAAATTAAGTTCAGTTTAATGAACATCTATTGAGAACTTTCTCTGTGCTAGATACATGCTGGTAAGTGAGCCTATGTTATTTAGGTTCTTTTAAGTAGAAAAAAAGAAGCCAGAGGACTACTCAAGTTATTTACAAAAAAAGATTTTATTTTAAGGTGAGATAAGGAAATAAGGAAGATGGAAATCTCGACACTTAGCAGGTCTCCCAAAGACTGGAATATGGTCTGGGCACTAGAAGGTTGTTCAGCTCAGGTCTAGCAACCTTACTTCCTTGTTGTTCCCTTGGCAACTAGATGCATGACCTAGGAAAAGTACCAGAAACTGGTAGTTGTCTCTGCAATAGCTATTCTCCTCTTCTTTAGTAGCAGAGCCCTGGATTTATTTGGACTGGCGACATGCCCAGCTAAAAGGCTGCATTTCCAGCCTGGTTTGCATCTAGATGTGGCCATGATGAGGTGGGTGGACTTCAGGACATCTCTCTAACAGGGACTGAAACAACAAGGATGAGCACATTTGGATTTTTTCTCTTTTGCGTTCTTTCTTCCTGGAATTTGGAAGCATCCTGTAGCATTTTATGACCTTGAGGTTGGCAGCCATGT